CCTGTAGTTGAAACTGGCGATGTTCATGTGGATCGATCTCGACAGGCACACACTGCTTTTACAAAATCCTTTTTGGGATGGAAATGCGGCATGGAGAAAGAAGCTCAACTAGCGAGGCATCGGTTTGCGGAAAGATATGAATATCCGAGCCTGTGGGAGACCCAAGAAATGATTACAGAACTGGAAAACAGATATTTGAGGTATCTGGATGCTGAGACATTGCCACCTACAGAACAGGATTTTGATCTCGGGAAGCCGCGGTGCACTGTTTCTATGTATTCGTCGCTTCTCGCACAACAGCGAATTGCTAATCTTGAAGGACTTGCACGTGCCAGGCAACACAAACCGAAGCGCAGAAGAGATGAAGATGCTCGTTTGCATGAGGAGTATGTCAAGATGCACACGCTTGGAGAAGCTGATGGTGGTGGTGTGGATGGCGACAATGATGAAAATCTAGAGGCTTTGGTGGAAGAGACAAGTGTAGTGAAAAAGGAAGTCTTCCCGCCGATTGGTTTGCGCCTCACTGCAGAAGAACAGAAACAGCTTTTGCGCTTTGATCTGCAAGGTCGTAAGAACGATTATGTGAAAACATTTCTGCGGGAGACTTGGATGAAAGAGGATGTGTTTGAGGCGGCTTCACGTTGTCGGAACAGTGAGCATCAGAGACATGAACAACTTCTGGCCGACCTCTCTGCCTTGAATCAGGACGGAAAGAGTATATCCTGGAGATGTTCAAGAATGTAATGCCTGATATTTCTGGTACAATACGTAGTCACTGTGAGAGAAAGGTTGGTTGCGACGGGGCCGTTAGAAGATAGAAGGAGGTGCTATTTTTTGTTTAGTTCTATTTTTTAGTGGTGTTTGACTGGTTGAATTGGCCAGGATCTCCGGCAAGATCTCTATTGCAGTATACGAGAGACAAAACCAGAGGATGAGGATGAAAATGTCGAAGCACACCCGGACGATCCGGACGAAGTAGTTCGATTGAGCGCTCTCCGGGCCTTACTGCCTCTGCTCCCGCGAGATTGTGCTCGTTTCACAGATCAGAACGTGTACGCGACACCGTCTGCCATGCTGTCGGACATGGTCGCAAAGCTACCGACCGCGGGCAGGTTGAACGAGGATCAGACGCTCTTTATGTTGCGGTTTGGAGATGTGTTAGATACTGTCTGGAAAGAAGAACAAGAGTTGCCACCTGAAGAGAGATCTGTATATCACATGTTGTTACTGGGACAGGGCGGATCCGGCAAGACGCATGTTGTGCAAAATTTGATATTTCCGGTGGTGCAGTTCATCTGGCCATCAAGCAAAGAAGAAGAGTCTTTGATGGTTGTTGCGGCCAAAAACTCGCAAGCCAAAAACATTTCTACAGAAGGTGTGCGAGCGAAGACATTGCATAGAGCAGGTTGCATGCGGATCCAAAGTTTGAAGAATCAGGATATGGCTCCAGGCAAGAAGGAAAAGGCTTTGGAGAAAACTTGGAAGAACGTTCGTGTCTTGATCATCGAAGAGATCAGCATGGTGTCGGCCTTGCTGTACAATATGCTTGATTTTCGCGCCATGTGTGGTCGTAGGCTTCCTTTCAAGGTGGATCGAGACACGTACATGAAAGTGGGTTGTGCTTTCGGGCGGGTGCCCATCGTCATTCACCTGGGTGACTTTTTCCAATTGCGTCCGACTGGTCAGATATCCTTGATTGAAGATCTGAACCGCCGAGATGAAGAGGGTCAGTATGTCCATAAAGAGGTCCCTGGTATAGAGGTTCAGCATGCGCAAAAACTGTTCTCTGAAATCCCGGATGTTTATGAGCTACGCGGCACCATGCGCTTCAAGCCGCAAGATCCACTTATCGAAATCTTGCAATGCATGCGGCTTGGCCACACGCTGCCGGATAGGCTCTGGGCTCAGTTCCAGGAGCGTGTGGTACGAGATGAGGCTCCCGGCATTGCTGATGCTCGTTTGGATTCGGAGAACTTTCAGTCTGGGTATTGTATGTCGATTTACTGGGCATCTTTGATTCGCATGATGTATCGTCGCAGCGTCGCACCATCTTACAGGCGAGCCGACGCAATCAGACACTGGTCTTTTTGCAAGCTGCTGATACTTGTATGGGCATGAATCATGAGACTGGCCTTCGGTTTTTGAATCAGCCGAACCCGTACAACACTGGTTTGGTTCATGGCATTTTACCTTGCTTTGTTGGCATGGAAATTCGTTTGTTGGCGCGTGTGGATGCCGACCAAGGGCTGGTGCAAGATACACTTGGAGGATCAGCCTGCTTACTAAGTAGGTGCGGCGAGTAAAGCAGTTACGCGAGAACTTACTATGTTGCGTAATTGCGTATTATGTTTGTTTTTTCTTGGATAAGTATACTTAGTATATTCTTTATGTTTGTTAAGTGTGAAACATAGTTATGTTGAAGTTACTAAGTAGATAGATTTTTGGCTATCTACTTAGTATGTGACGTATGTAGTTGGCTCAAAGAGGTATGAACATAGCAAACTTATGCATGCACTTAGCTATGTGGCTGATGTGACTTAAGTCACTTGCCCATAAGCTTGCTAAGTGGACATGTGCCACTTAGCGTAAGTGGCACATGTGCACTTGTTGAACTTATACCTATGTGGCACTTAGACGACTTACAGCACTTAGGTGGCCGAGAAAAAGGATATGGATCCAATATTTTATTTTTTTTGTAAATTAGTTGACGGGCGTCGTTTGAGAAAAATCAAAGCTGCTTTTGTTCAAACCATGCAGGCAGTGCCACGTTGAACGTGCTCATCATATTTGGTGTTCGCTGTTTGAACAAGCCACAATCTATATATATATAGTTGGTTGCGGTCAGAAATTTGTTCGCCCATTGGCCGAATTTGGGGGAACAAAACAGAAGGGGATGGGATGACTTGACTCACCACAGTTATAGGAGCCGTTCATCATAGATTTTCCTTACCACACAAGGAATCATGCAAGTGCTGTTCCGTTTAACATGGAGCTTGCGTGCAAGCACACTTTGTTCATTCAAAGGAAATATGTGAACCCATTTTTTGGTTATTCATGTTGTGATCGAGGGTCTCTATAGAGTGTGTCTTCGTAAGCTCTTTTCTGAGGAGGGTATATAGTTTATCAATCCTTTCTCCCAAAACGTGAACAAACCGTTCGACTGTCGATGGAAGCCGTTGCCAAAACGTGGACGTGGAAGCCGTCCGACCGAGGCATAGGAATCTCCGATGGAGTCATCCATAGCAGAAATTCTTGAGATTTATTGTCTATTTTGAATGTTGGCAGTGGCTCAAATTTTGAGGGTTTATTTACCCGCATGTCAGCAGGGAGACTCAGATCAAATCGAGTCGTGTGTTGTTGACCTGGTGATGTGAGTTTCATGGGTGTTTTCATGTAGACGCCGAACTTGCCATGACATGATGATGGTGATGAGGGAGTGATGATCATGAGCTGGAGATGCATGCAGTTGTTTTGGGTACACGTGTTTTGCATGGACTTTTGATAATATGTAAAACCCAACATCAACATGATATAGAAACAGCAGAAACTTGCCATAAACATGCCACCCCTATATAAGCCACCATGTCTTCATGTCGCATGCACCAGCCCACCGCTTTGCCGGCCCAGGTGTCACTGCAATTCTTCGACCCATGCTTTTCTTCAAGCAGGCGTGGAAAAGGGAGGGTTGCAGGTGGATAGATGGTCTTAAGCTGACTCTGCATCAGTTCAACATTATTTGTTTGAGTGATTCTTCTATTCTGACTGCTCACAGTTTGTGATTGTCCGTGACATTTTTCCTACTATAGTAGTATGGTTTCTGGATGCTTTTCGTTTCATCAGCTGCACTGCACATGTGACGTTGCATGCCTACATTCGAGAAACGCCACGTGTGGTCATGTCCATTTATGTCGTGTGGGTGCGTGGCATTGCTCGCACTCTGCAACTTGCGGGTATCCTCGCAGTTGCCCATCAAGTATCCATGGCGTGCACAGTGACATCATGACATCTTTGGTTCGCCACGTTCATGACAATTTTCGCATGCGTATACATGTCAGAAAATGTTTTTCCTAGATTGTTCATATGCGTCTGTGTAGTGCGTATAGTCTTTGGCATGGCTCCCACGATTGATGCTGCGTTGAAACAGAAGATCTGCACTTTGCTGAAGGATGCGCAGAGTGGCCAGGGTCTTTTAAAGAACATGAATCAAATCTATGGGCTGTTGCGTTCTCATGGTCTCATGTGGCAGTCCCTTCTCCATTGCCGTTTTCTGGGAGTTCACGAAAGCAATCGGGATGGGTTAGGCATATCGCCTGACCATGTGCATAAGCTTTGCGTGGATATTTATGAGTTCGGCTTTGTCGAGGGAGAGTCGCGTAGGATGGCTGTTGAACTTCATGGTGCAAATGGTGAAGCCACAAAAGAATACAACGAAAAGTTGGTGAACCAGTCCAACAACTTGCTACTTCATAGCAAGTGGATAACATTTGTTTGTTGGCCCCATCCTTTTCCATGATGGTGTTTATTGTATTCATTTCCATAGTTTTTCATGATGCTCACACATCGCCATATATAGTACCAACTTGTCAATTCATTAAAGCAAATGTATGAGGTTACCGCCTTTGAGGGACACACTCCGCTATGCGACAATTGCTGGATCACACTCCAACCAAGTTCTTCGTAGCTGGTACTATGGCATAGAGCATGAAAATCCAAACATCACAGTGAATGGCAGATTGAGCATGGAGGTGTTGGAGAGAAACGATCTCGCGTACCATCGAGCAGTGAAGGATGGATGCATGTACGACGTTGTTGCCAGCTGCGTCGTGGATGAATTCCCAGAGTTTTGTTCACTGTCCCAGTCCGCAGCAAATGCTGCAAACCAAGTGGCGCGACCTGAAGCAGAATTGCAGATCTGCTGCAAAATGCTTGGTTTCATCAAAAACCAAGTTGGTGATCAGCCAACGCCATATCAAGACATTGCTCCCCAGATTTTGCGAAGCAAGCCTCCACGGCCAGAATGCATTCCGCATCTCTACAACTTCATGATCCGGTGTGGAGGAGGGAAGAGTGCGCATCTCTTTCAAAACACCGAATCATTTGTGAAGTCATACGGCCATAGTGGAAGGTCCTTTGGTGTGAAAGCCTGGGACAACCTTGGTTTGGATGTCCGCCAGAAGGGTATGGAGCAGTGTGTGCTTTGGCGACATGCCATGCTGAAAGCAATGTATTGTCACCAAGAGGGATTGGTCACCCACGCCGATATCAAGAAGAGCTTGCAGCAGAGGGATCTTTTCGCCAAGGTCATGCAATTCGAGGTACTGCACCAAGATGTCAGGAAGTTTGGTGAGAGCCTGACAGACTTGTCAGCGCACCAGCGTTTGATGGGCTTGGGTATCTTCGAGGTGGTTTCGGTGATTGCAATCTTGGGCAAGAAGCCGAAGGAGAGCGTGCATCCCTTTGAGCCTTGCAATGACACGACCGAAGCGGCCTTCCAGTGCGTGCAGTTCTGGCGCAAGTTCTCAGAGGATCATAGGAACTCTCCTTGGGACCCAGTGGCCGCTGCGACAACTGCACCATCTTCTTCATCAGCTGCACCGGCAGGCATGAAAAGCAGGACCATTGTAAATGTATGGTCGTGAGCATATCATTGAATGGCTTTGATGGATCTCATGTGTTTCTGTTTTGCGAACTATATCATGATTGACAACGGTTGGTTCCTCATGCATCTCTTCTCATCCATGCAATGATGTCGTACGCCGCTGTATACTCATCACACCCCTAAACCAATGTGACCAGGATCAGGGACTACACTGATGATGGTCGACTCATTTCCAATGCCATGGTCCTTGATGCAGGGTTTGAGAAAGGATCCACTATCGTAAGGAAGTCCGATGGTATGCAAGTCACAATCAAAGACATTACCACAAAGAAGGTTGTTGTGACATGCTTGGATGATGGAACGGATTACAATCTTGATGTCGATAAACTTATCGGTGGTGATTGGAAGCATCAACCAAAAGCAAAGGTGCAGGAACCAGTGAGGGATCCCCATGCATGGAAAGATCTCATGAACGTGAGTGTAATCAAAGCCACTGTCGTTCAACGGTTGCAACGCGCATTGAATCAGCACCGGGATCAAAACAAGAACTTGGAACTCTTTCAGAAGCCAAAGGGGGTGACTGCTGCAGCAGACATCGCCAAGGACAAATGCGTGTTGATTCCTTTGACAAACAAGGTTGAGGTTGTGAAAAAGGCAGAGGCCAAGGCACCGACAGCATCGGCTATCCAATTGGAAGTTGAAGAGCATGATGGGTAGCTTGCAACACATGCACTGTTTTTGTTTCTTGGGTTTGTTCACTGAAATCGTTGTTCCACGTTCATTATACAACCAACTGACCCATTGCGATTGCTTAGGCAAGAGTTCAATGTTACTTTGCAGCCTCCCGGAGTTCATGTACCATTTTGGCTGATGAAGGTCACGAGTGAGCGAGATGATGCGAACATGTTTTTGGTGAAGCATGATAAAATTGTGGTTGCCAGGAACCCTGGCAAAATTGAGGCTGGGGAAAACCTCATTTTGTATCGTCCTGAGATTGCGAAGAAGGCGCCCGAGCCCTTAGAGCTTGCATCTTTGCACCCTTTCAAGCGAATGAAGAAGAGCACATCATAAGCCTTCATGCATCAATCATGCACCGCGCTGTGTAAAGTCATGTGGGACATTGTTTGTCCAAACGTCTGGACTATATAGATGCCGCTGGGTAAAACCAAGCATGCGGATCTGAGCGCATGCAGGAAAAGAAGAAGGAAACCATGATCTTCTACCTTATACTCAAGGGCTCGTCATGTCCATATACACATGCACTTTGGGTAGTTGACTTTGGGTAGTTGAGACGAAACGTTGTATCAGTTCAAACATGTCACCATGCACTGCGCTGTTCACAACGGAAAGTTGCCAAGTTCAGACTAAAACAGGAGGAACAGTTTCTGGAAATCATATCACGCGTCGGCAAGTCACGAGCTGATCAAGCCTTGCTGTTGTGTATCCCGCATACTTGTTGTAGAAACATCATGGAGAGCCCAGCTTTCGTGTACGATTACCTGATCATGGATTTGGGTCA